TGAGTCAGCGTGGGCTGGCGTGGAGGACCCACCTGAGGACTGTTGCCAACACAAGAGTATGGGGAAGCCGGGCGTAGCAGTGCACACCTGTAATCCCAGCGCTCCGGAGGCTGAGGCAGGAGGATCACTGTGAGTTTGAGACCATCCTGGGCTACATAGTGAGTTCCAGGTCAGTCTCAACTAAGTGAATCCCTTTCTCCAAAAAAAAAAAAAAAAAAAAAAAAAAAAAAAAAACCCGGAAAAAAAGAAAAGTCTGATGTGGGGAGATCATGGGCCACTGATTTTCTAGGAGAAGCTTGCTGAAGTTGGTTCTCATGTGAACTCGGCTGTTCTCATGGGAGGAGGAGCTCAGGGCCTCGCTGTCCCTGGGAATGGCTCCTGTTCTCATCAGGGGAACTCTGGTCTTCACCTTGAGCATCACTTCTGGCTCCAGTGCAGATCCCTCAGCCTGGTGGCACAGATCCTTCTTCTCCCCAGCACAGGCTTTGTGGCTTGCACCATTGGCCTTTGGGCTTTCTCGGTGCAGATCCTCAATACAAACAAGCACGAGACATTGCCTTGGGCTCCAGGCCTCTGGCCGGACTTTTGTGTGACATTGCTGTGGGATCTAGGCTGTTGGCTGGATTCTTTAGGCCTCTAGTGTGGGACTAATCTCTTGCACTCCTCCAATTTGACTCTTTGGGTAAATATAATCCTATAAATTATGTGTCCTGTATTAAATGTATTCCCTTGCCAAAATCCTGACTACACCTTGTTAAAGTGATATTTGAGCAAAGATGTGGGAGAGATGAGAAAACTGATCTGTGCAGGCATGGGGGGAAAGAGCATTCCAGACAGAGGGAAGAGCTAGTGCAAATGTCCTGAGGCAAGCAAGGGTGTGTGTGTGAGAAGAACAGAGGAGGCTAGAGGGGCTGGAATGTTTGGAGGAAGAGTGAGTTCACAGAAATAGAGACTCTCAGCTTGTGTCCACTGCAGAGCTTTAGGCTTTAGGTGAAATGGGCCCCCTTGGGAAGAGTCAGCACTGACACCAGTGGCCATTGAGACAAGGCTGAACTGTTAGAGAGGGCCAAAGACTGCAGTGGGAGACCCAGGGGCTATTAAAGCACCCCAAGCAAGAGACGGTGGTGAGGGCTTGGGCCAGAGCAGTAGCAGCGAAGCTGAGGGGCCAGAGTTTAAAGAGATTTGAGAGGTAGCGTCTCAAGGAGTCTCTGTTAGACAAAGGGGACAAAAGAAAAAAAAGCAAGGATAATTCCAGTTTGTCCGGATAACTAGAGAACCCAACAAAGTGTGGTTTGTTAGTGGAAGATATCGCAGTGGCCCAACTGTGGGAGCAGAGAGGACTGGGCTCCGATCTGCAAAGCAAGCCATGTCTACTGGATCTCTAAAGGGAGTGGGGATCAGGACACAGAGCACTGGCAGCCCAGAGGTGAGAGCAGACGAATCAGGCCGAGGCTGAGGCTGGCCAACACTCAGAGGCCATGCAGCAACCAGGAGGGCAGGTGGGCCCCTAAGTCATGATCAAAGGCATCAAAAGAGGAAGGGATGGAAACTGGCTAGAAGGCCGCACACAGGCCAAGGAGGATGAGGACCAAGAGGTGACCTTGGGCCCAGCAGTGAGCTGATCGGGGACACTGTCGTGGGCAGGAGCAGTCCGGGTGAGTGACAGGATGGAGAAGCCTAGTTGGAGAAGTTTTGAGAATGACGAGAAAACTGGAGAAATTGCTTAGAGATGCTTCTACATGCTCTGGAATGATTGTATTTTTAAAAATCCATTCACTCAGACTTCTTGTTAATCTAACTAGGTATTGTGTCCATGGCAAGCTGAGTAAGTCAAATTTTACTTGTGAAATCTCCCTTTCAAATAAGAAAACGGTTTTGTGAAATGGGTTTCAGCAATTTTAGTCTGGCACTGTTAACTGAAGAAAAACAATCCCTGCCTCCGCGAATCCGCAGCCCGAAGTATTTTTATGGTCAAGACGACTTCCGTCTTGGGAGCTCACACACAGACACACGAGCACACTTATCCCCACAATGACATCACGGTTCCCAGTTGAATATTGTCATTCATAAACAACATCACTCACTCCAGACATTATTGATCAGTTAGCTCTTTTTGCATGACATAGCCAACGTTTACCTTAACACATCGGTGTTTCTCATGCCCAGACACCCTGCCGCCTCTTCTTCTGCACACAGGGGCACCTTGTCAACAGCTTGAATCTGGTGGTAAGAGAGCGTCACACCACTAAAGTCAGGAGGCCTCTCCACCCAGGGGCATGCACTTCCCAGAGTCAGAGAGCCAGAGACCCCCTGCAGCCCATGCTGATTCTGTCTTGTGTCATTTCTCAATTTTATATTTAATTTGTTCCTTTTGGTTGTATGTATTTTGACACAGCCAAGTGTGTGTGGGGGCAGTTCCCATAGTTCTTTAAATGCTATGAAACTTTAATATAGGGAGATAAAAACAATACTAAGCCATGCCTCCAAGCCCTGACATTTAGTTCTTTTTTAGATACTGATTTAGATTTTCAGTACTTGTGCTGTTTTAAATGCCCTGCGCCTTCCCTCACCTTCCTACCCTACCCAAGTGGAGATTATATTCTACTCTTAACTTGGACATGTGACTCTCATTGATTGCAAAAAACTGGCATCTGTACAGTTCCTACAGCACTGTCATAATGGCCTGCGTGGTGCAGGAGCCAGTGCGATTTAACGTGGTTTGGAAGAAAGCCAGGGCAGATAGCAGTTCCCAGTTTTAAGCAGGCAACCCTGGAATGTCTTTTGGAAAAAAATGAAATAAAGCTCCTGGTACTCTGTTGGGTTAGTCAGTTTTCAGCATAATTGCCTTCTTTCGGTTTCCTAATGCCCTTAAAACCTCTCAGTGTCTTTAATGTACAAAGTTCAACAAACACCTTCAAACAGATTAGTTCTAATTATGCTTAATATTTGTTTGATGCTTTATTAAATAAACTACATTTGCCTTTTAAAAAAAGGAAATTCACTTAACTGTATGTCAGTCACCCACATTTTAAGTGTACAAATGAAATGAAAAACATTACACAAATTTAATTACAATTCTAAGAAATAAACATGCAAATTAGAGTTCAGCCTGCAGATGCTAATCTCCTTGATCTTGCTCTTTTCCCCTGTGATTTGGGCTGCATCTCCTGGATTCCTGGGGAGCAGCTAGAGGTCTGGCTTTTCACAGTTGGAGGACCTGCGTTCTAGAGGAATGATGCATGTGGCGCAGCTGGCCCAGGACCAGTAAATAGACGCGAGCGTCTTTGTGACTCTGGTGCAGGTGTCCCCCCCCCCCCCCGCGCGCGTGCCGAGGTCTGTGCCTCACCTGAAACCTCCCATCTGGGCTGTGGAGGGGCCCTGGACAGAAGGCGCGAATTAGTGCCTCAAAAAACAAGCTCCAGCGGAGTCCGACACAGGAGGAAATCACTACAGCGAAATAATGCCGTGCCAGACTTAAATGCCACCCCCGGACCGAGACAGCCCCCGCACGACTCGTTTCCCGCAGGCTCCCCGGGGCCCCCACCGCAGGAGCGAGCTCCTTTTCCAGCCTGCGGTCCTGAGGGGACCGCGGGGCGCGGCAGGAGGGCCGCGGGGTCCTGCACAGACATCTGCTTCTCGTCTGCGTCTGCTGCCGCGGAGGAGAAGAAAGTCTTTTGCAAAGGGTGGGAAAGGCAGGGTTTTTTTAAATCGCGAGCACACAACAACAAAACTAAGCCAAATAAAAAAAGCCGAGAGCTGTCAGCGGGCTGCGGCGCGGACGCTTCAGCCCCTGA